TGATCGCGGGCGTCTGCGGCTAATCCAGCTTTCGCACGGCTCGGACAGCCCTTGTCATGACGAAATCTCGCAGGCGGGGCCTCACATCTAACTCTAGCCAATCTCAGAGAGGGAGTGGGCTAATGAAATAACGTCGCAGAAAAGTCAGACATCGCTGGTTCAGATGAGGAAATCTTTTCAAATAAAAATACATGGAATGAAACAATTTCATGAAGATAAAAGTAAATTCATAGAAATATATAAACGCATACACGCAATGTAAGTACAAATCGTACTGAAGAAATATGAGACAAAGTAACACTAATTTTAGAGCAATTAGTTTCTCATGCAAATTTTACTTTCAATATTTCTGTTCATACATAACCCATGACCTTTATCAAATATCCAATTTATTGTATATTTTATCGATAGGAAAATCACCAAATAGTGAAGGGTGGTGGTAATGATACTGTGCTATTAACTGATGATAGGATAAAAACTTAGTTATAGTGTGACATTGTAAATTCATGAAACATTCACTAACAAAAAACACGAAAAGGAAATAAAATGCGTAAAAATGACGGCAAAGGCACCCCCAACATGACCTAAATATTGAAAAATGGCAAACAAATTACCCAATAAATATACATTTCTACCACCTATATGTCGTGATAAACATTCATTTAAGAGTTAGCTACGTCTAGAGAGCACCATGTAAAAGATGACATGTCATCAGTATCCGAGCCCTGTTCATGAGTATGATATAATATTTTACTAGAAATGTCATTTTCACGTTGGAAAGACTAAGATAAGAAGGCACTTTTAAGTTGTAGGCGCCCTATTGAATCTCTGGTACAAAAAGGTAAACATTCAGGGGAAAACACCTACCACCTTAGTTTCAAACCTGTTTGCCGTTGTGATCCTCTCGAACTCGACAGAAATTGTTTGGTTGGACACTTGTTCTTAGCAATAAAAGCAACGTTTGGAACAGAAAATAATTGCCACCCTGTTCAATATAGTTACTCAGTCGTTGCAAAAATCACTCAGATTCGGCAGAGCATATAAAATGTCAGATAAATTTAAAGAAACCGAAATACAATGTCAGATGCCGTGAAATAAAATGCTAGACTAAGTAATGTCCCAGTCAGTAACAATGTAAGGTTAAACAGTAGGTAGACTTTAAACAGTGAACATATGCATACTTTTCCTACATTTACACAGATTAATTTGGTTTATAGGGTGCGTCAACTGATGTGGGAAGACCCGTTGTTCCTTATGAAGTTCTGAAGTCCTTCCCTTCCACCCACTAAGTCCTCAAGTGTGAAAAGTATGCCGTCTCCAGGTCACGTGATAGGACTTCTCACTGTCAAAGAAGGCTATAAGGTGTCGTAATACGAAGTGGATATCAGCGAAGCTGAGTGACCAAGTGATCAAAAGTAGACCGATGCTTGATGAAGCCCCAATGAATTTGCTGTTAAAACGTTTCTTTGCTCCAGGAGCCAGACCAGTCGAGGTTAAGCATTCGCCCCAAAAGCAGCTAGTAAGCTAAATTGGTCAATAAATCGAATCATTGTCCTTTCATTCTTTAGGAATAGGAATGACTACAGTCTAGTACACGGCGCAAGGCAATGGCGTGTTCGTTCCAAATGCGACTGAAGAGGCTAAGAAGGATAGCAACTTCTCGGGTAGGTGTTTCAACACCGTTATACCGCCTCCTAAGGCGAAGAGTCACTTTACGATTGACCAGCACCGAGGAACGGTAGGAAAAATCGGATAGAAAAAGCGATAAACTTTTGAAGATGCACCGCCCTTATTGGGGCATTTTGTATGCATGGCTATGGTTATAATGGTTTTAAGTGTGTTTAAGTGTTCGAGTGGAATAGTCTAATTTAATTTGTCTAAACGAATTTTTATTGATTGACCATTCTTTTTAGGCGTTAAGTTTTTTTCTTCTTCTAGTGGGATTAGATGCTGGTTTTCTTTTTCTTATTTTTCCTCGTCTGGAGGTGTGATGGATGAGTTCACGCGGAGTTCTTCGTCCCCTGTAGAATAGGTTTACTGGAAGTTCAACAAAAAGGCCTGGATGACACGCACAACATTGAAAGTATTGCACATATTTTAACAAGAATATGAAAGAACAAACCAAGAATGTCTTATTGTTTTTACATAATGCCACTTATTAATGATCCCGCATAATTTTCTCTGCTGTAAAACTTGTGTGGTTCTCTCCCCAAACACGTATTAAGCAGCCCTTACTCGAATTTTTCAAGCACTTTTACAGAAAGTATGTGATGCAATCGTTCATTCAGCTTCAAGAGTGTCCGAGTGTTACTGAGCTATACAAACCGATAAACGTTCTGGATGCAGTGAACTGGATAAACAAAGAATAGCATTTATCCTCAGAGGAAAGATGTTTCCAAAACGCCGGGTTTTTCAATAGAGAAAGGAGCTTTATGAGCGGCGAAAAAAATAACGATGGAATTTCTTATTTGTATCAAAGAGCAAATACTCATATTAGCGCCGATTATTTATTACATTTTGATGGTGATATCCGAATGAAGAGGTTGGCAAAGCAGTTGATCCGCTCCAGGAAGAACAAGAGCTAATGATCTGACACGCAAACAAATAACAAGAGTTGAAACTTCAGTCATTGCACGAGGCCCTAATTACACTTAATGATTTGGAGGCATTTGCCACACACGATTACCCTGATCTTCTGGATACACTCCAAGATCTAAGGTTATTTATAACGCGGCCCCAAAATGATTCTGGCGAACCCGCCTTAAAGATTTCTTTAAATGAGGATAAATTAAAAGTTATCTATCAAATGTTTATATTCTTATTCGTGGCTCATTCAAAATTACATGGCAAATTCTTGAGTCATTCGTTCACTTACACTTCCTTGACTTTGTAAATTATAGGCGGTAGCTACAACATTTACGAGAACCTAGTCAAACTTCCAAAGCCTAAATCATATGATGAATTCATTTCTTCCTACCAATATTGAACAAAATATATTTTTTTTGCTTTCATGCTGTTCTTTGTTGGATGAGACTTCGTGTTATGTTTCTCTATGACATTTTCTTTTTTCCCGAGACTTCTAATTTTGAAATGTTTTTAGATAAAACAATTATTACAACACACTGTTGTTGCAACACTATCTTACCTTCTGACACAACATATTCCCTGTTAAACGATCGTTTTTTCTGTATTGAGTTTTATTGCAAATCTGAATAAGACGGAAACCTGTACAGCCGGAAGAAAATATTGGAATCAAACGATTCCGGCTTGGACAGGTTTTTAACTGCGTGTTTTTCCAGATTCTGGATAGCAATTCAAGGGAGACATTTCAGATGGAAAAAACAGTCTTCTCAATTAGTTCAACAAATATTAATGTCAATTTGTTGCGGATCGCATAGTTTCTGCACAATTTCTCCTTGGCTGTACTTGAAGTGAGTCGAAGTGCTAAGACTATTTCTATTGCCGTTTACCTATTTTTCGAATACAACGGATAAAAAAGAAAATTTGTGATTTGATGGAATTGGCGTGCACATTACAATCTGCATCGCACGCGGCCCTGCGATCGCAATCAACTATGATCCCTTATCCACGACCTCGTCAGTCGGCCGCCGGAATAACAATACAAAATGGCCAAATTATTAGAGTCAATATTTTTTCCTTGTTTTAACGAATTACAATGTGTCTTGGGAAGCACTTGAAAAATGTAATGGTTTGAAGTGTAGCGTCTGTTAATGGAATAAACTATAGATTATTTAATGAAGAGTTAATAGAAAATAATTGTCATTGGATTTAACAATTATATAGGATTTATTGTTCAATTAACACTTAAATCAGTATCAGTTCCATGATCACAACTTGCTGTTTTACCATTGTCTCCCATATCTGAATAAACAAGGCATATTATTTCTTTCACCAATTAATATCATTTTTATACCATATACAATGGTATAAAAATTCTCTTTCAATTTTTCATAGCTTAAAATACTTGAAATTTACTTCTTTTTCACCCACCAAATTATACCCCACTCTCTTGACACACAATGACCATTTTTCCAAAAACTATAGATTTTTAAATATTTTAACTTTTACAATAAGTATGTTACTGAAAAAATAAAAGACAGTTTCATTTATTACTCCCAAGTCTGTATATTATTTCATTTTCTAATTCTTATGATTAGTAATAACAATATTCTTTTTCAAAAAAATGCCCCATTTACTTTAACAATTTTTATGCATTTTTAATATTTTGTACTGTGTCATACTAAAGAATAAAGAGAGTAAATAAGTGTGTGGCCATTTTGTACTTTAGTTTCAGGGTCAATAACCCCATCTTGATTAGGTTTTATCCTGTTTCCTTTGATCCATTAAGCACATGCTGCGATGATCCTTGTTTTTCTTCTGGACAAAAATGTATATTTATTTTCTACACACATTTTCTTGAGCACAAATGCTTTTGAGCCTGGCACTCTGTGGAGCGTTAGAAGGGAATTTAGTTATTTTGTCCAATTATCATTCTCCATTTTCTCACGGTAGGGAGTTGAATGCTTCACGTAAGGTACTACAAGATAAAACAGCCCAAATCTGTGGCTCATGTGCCATTACAAATAGCTTTTATTACAGGTCGGTGGGTATTTCTTGTTATTTAATTTTTCCAAAACTTCTACTTTCAATCATAATTTAACACAATATAGTATAGAGTAAGGTATGGAAACCAGGTCTCGAGACAATGTCCACAAAGAGCTTTCACCCATATGACACAGACACACAATTTTAACATTTAAAAAAGTAATTAAATCACTAAATAATAATTGCCATTTTCTATGAAATCAAATAGTGACCATATAAGACAATTTTTACTATTTAGTCACAATTTACACACAATACACACTAAAAAGAAGAAAACTATGTTGCTAAAGAGAACAAGGTTTTGTTTTCTTCAACTACATGGGTGTCAACAGGAATATTAATAAATAATTCAATGTATATGAATGGTAACTTACAATTTGATGAGCCTGTAACTGATCAGAAAATTCAAAAGTCAATCTGTTGACAATTGTCAATTTGCCTTCAAACATCTGCAAAAACAAACACAGAAAGGATCTGAAAATATGTATATAAAAAAGCAAGCCAGAGAATTGAGAACGACAAATAATTAATGATTATATAAAATTACAACAATAAATGCTATGTCAGAACAAAATTCTTTCTCAAAAATTTATGACCCAATTAATTTTAATATAAAAATTAATTGCCTTCTACAAACATTTTTATCCCTCAACATCACCAGCACCTTCATACGACAGAGCAAAATTCTTTCCCAAAACAAATTTTCTTTAACATCACCACCACCTTCACCTTTTTAAAGAACCACTTTCACTTGTCATTCACATATAAATAATTCCTAAATAATAGGAGGCTGTGAATATTATTAAAAAAATATGACTTGATATTTTTCAGACTCTAATGTAATATTACATATATTTCTATTCAGGTGAATTAAAAATTTAAATGTTTAAATGATGCAATTTTCTCAAAGGTCATATTTAATAAAATTATAATTTTAATTGTCTTTTCATCTGAATTTTAGTTTCAACTCAAAAACAAAATTACATTATAAACTAATAATCAAAAACAAAGAACTAAATGAAAAAGGTATGTCATAGATTCATTTAAAAAATTTGTCATTTACAACTCGTAAAATTATTTCATTAATATTATATTCACTTGAATTTAATAGACCTTGAAGATGAAGGCCAATGACTTTTGAAACGTAGGAAAGTAAAGATTGTTTGATTTGAAAAACAAGTTTATTATATGATCGAATGTCTGCCTAAAAAGTGGACCTTTAACCAATTCTAGAGATTCATTTCACTTAAACCTGTGTATCTCTAGCATGGGTCACCAATGAGCTTAACCTCATTTCACAGATCCCTATTAGAGAGGCTGAAAATCAGAAGAATTGAATTTTGAATTTTCCCTAAAATGACCAACACAACAAAATTGTTCCATAAAAATAAAAGTTTCTGAAGCTATACACCTACATTAAAAAATATTGCACAGTTCTACCTGATATTATGTAACATGGCACTAATACATATAGTACTAATAAAAATAGTGCATGATAATAAATCTAAATAAACCGCAAATAAGAAAAGGGCTCTTGACACTGAGCACCCACTTCGTTTCCTGTCTAAAATATCCACTGCACAGAACTTGGCTACTTATGTGACACTAAATTATTGTCCAGATTGCAATTTCATTGAATTAAGCAGTTTTTTGCTTTGTTTTTTTAAATTTCATTTGTTCCTGCAGTGTTGTCTCTATAAAAAAAAAGGTTTTTATTATCTTCATTTCAAAACCAAATATATTTTCTGTCAATTTCATACAGCTTCAGTAAGAAACTGTGCCTTAATTCTCTACTCTTAACTTTCCTGAATTTAGCACTCAATAATTAATTTCTGCTAAATTAAAAATGTTATTAAATGGACATCTGAGGGCTGTAAGAGTACTTCAGAGCCACTTAGTCCAAAATTACAAATTTCATAAAAACAGCATTTCTGCAACAAGGCTACATTTTAATGTACTTGTCTTAGAACAAACCCACAATGATTGAAGCAAAATCTAATCCAACTGGGTGGTAGAACAATAGATTGCAATGCATTTCAGATAAGACAGAGGGTGGCAAAATTCAAGATTTAGTATTGTAAAATTGGTAACTTCCATTTATTTTTTGTTTAAAATGCATGCAAGTTCATAAAGAGACCAAGGACCAATTTAGCACATCAGTTCATCTTGATAAATCAGGCCCTAAAATTTAGTCTACATACGAGTACTACATATGCCTTAAGAACCTTTTCTTGCTAATTATACAGCACTCAGCCATTATTTTGAACATTCAAATATTAGATAGTGGTTATCCAAATACCGTTCAGGGTACATAAATTAAAGACTAACGAGTACAAAACTTTGCCGTCTGACTGAAGAATATCATACAAACGAGAAACATTAGTAGTTCATCATGCTTCAATTTACAAAAAACAGTTCTCTACTAACAAAATATTGCCTGATGTTTCATATCATCTCAAATAAGTCTTATTGTCATTTGAACTATTCCACACAATGGAAACTTGATACTCTTTGGTCTTTTGCACAAGTATACGAGTATGTAATAAATTACAACAATTCAACAAACCTTTTGAAGATCCTCCAAATGCACTGGTTCTGGTACAATATTTGAATGTTCCACTCCTTTTTTCTTCTTCTTTGAAGAAATTACAAGTTCTTTCATGCTCTGGTTAATAGCAACAGTTTGATAACCCACTACAACAATACACACACACACAAAATAATGAAATCAATAACAAGCAGGCATATGGCAATTCAAATTATGTTAGTTTTCTCGAAAACAGTCAACCTACAACTTACGTTCTATTAAAGTTTCGCATAGTTGTTTGAGGTCAGAAATCTTACTTTCACAAATAGAAAGGTCGCAAAAGGACTTGCACGAAAACATTTGGAATAATAGTAAACTATTTCTCTCTGCAGTAAATACAACACTGTTACTAACTAATAGAATTACGAAAGCAGAACATTCGCTGTCTCCTAACCTACATTAACGAATCCTCCACACGTGTTTAATGCGTTTAGTGTGTTGTTTTCACGTTGGTATTATAGTACGATTAATTTAGTCGTGCACTTGACGTAAATCAGCTACTGCAGTTTCATCTAATCGGAAGCTTATATGTGCTACAGTGATGTCGCTTGTGGGGACGTTCAAGCTTCCAATTGGATAAAACCGTTAACAGCAGATTTACGTCAAGAGCATGGTTAAATAAATCCTAGTAAAGAGAGTAAAAGACAAACGAGTGTAGAACTCTGGGACTGCCAACCATAGAGGAGAGATACAACTCCTCTATCACTCCTCTATGCTGCCAACCTCCGAGCATTGGTGCAGAGCATTTGAATTCATTCATTTCGGCTGTAGATAGTATGGATTCCATACAATGGATTATCTTTGGTCAATTGTGAATGTGAAGTGGCGCGGTGTCATGTAAAGACTTCATGTGATGGACAAGTTATTGTCTCGTATTGTTAGTACTTGATTTACATGTGATTTTCACGAGTTTACGAGTCGTTAAAGTATTTCGGTACTTTTGAACCTAGATACATTGCACAATGAACATTACAGGAATTAAAGGTTCTACTAACAATAGATTTTTTGAAGGTTGTGGGCACGAAGGGCCTGTGAGGTGCATTTTTCTATGCGAGTTTCATCCCGTTGCAGGTCCCAAAATAACATGTCAGGTAGGCTGCCTTGTAGTCCTAGCATCATACTACTATGCATATTGAAATGTTCTCTCCAGAAGTGTATTCTTTAATTAACATATCATGCGCAAAGTTTTAGTCGTAATCAATACTTTTTTTATTCAATAGGTTTTATTGACTGTATAGTATTCAACAGGCTTTCCTGACTGTATTTTGTTGTTTTATCAGCCAATGGTTTAATTCTTCAAATATGTTGCTAGGGGTAGTGTATTGTTCTTGTATCTTCACTGTACATATGTTGAATTGAAGTTTTCTCAGGGAAATCTGTTTATATGGTGTACAATCGTGGATGATGAAAAGATTGAAAACATTATCCATTACGTCACGATTACTTACTATTCCCTCTAAATTTAAAGAGAGAATTATAGAATTATATTGGTGGGTTTTGTAATGAATGGCATACTGCAGTTCTAATACTATGTATATTGTTTACATTTGTGTGAGCGGTACCGTACACCTTTGATATTTAAAATATATTTATTTAGTGTGCTGAATTTTCATGAAACAATCTGCATAGAAATTTATAATATCCTGTCTCTTCATTTCATTTTGATTCATGTATTTCTCAATTTGTATTGTTTGAAAAACAATGCCAATATTATCAACATTTACTATTGTAGTGTCATTTTTTTACTAAAGGGATACAGTGACAGAGGACTTATTCAATAGACATCAAAATACTTAATGAAACAGCTAAGGAAAAATTATTAATAAAAGGAACTAAAGACACATGATATAAAGATATGGAAAAAATTGAAAAAGAGCCTGAGCAACAGAAATGAAAGAAATTTGAAAATAAGAAAAAGTAACTCATACCAATATTTATGTCATTAACAAGTACCTCCAAAAAATGCATATCACAAATTTGTTCTCCCGTCCATTTAGAGGTAATATACTGGAAAATACTTGTAAGGAATTTATCGACTTATAATTCAAGAAATGGAAATTATCAAGAGAACAATTTAAGTATTTTATAAATAGCATGAGCATTGCAATACATGTAATTTAGTAAGGCTAACTGTACAGCAAAATACTTGTAGGAAAATTCAATAGACCGCAGCACTATCACAGGGAAATTTACAAGACTGATAAACGCTGAGAAAATGATCCGATTAGCGATCTGTAAATGGCATTTGACTCGTTTGTACTATAGAATTTACGCTGTGAAGTCCATTTTTGCAAATTGCATATTTTTCAAATTGCTTGACATACTTCCTGGAATAAATTATAGAACTGGGCCCATAGCGCGAGCGTGACGTGCTTCCTGAATCCTACACCATGTCAACCATCCAAATCGGAAAAATAGGAAAGATGTAAAGTAAAATTTGGCAAAATACAAATATCCTTCCCCAAACACCAGGTCGCCGTCCCGAATGCGTGAACAGAATCCTCTTCGGCGCTCCGGTCGCAGGCAGGCGGCCTAGCTGGCGGGCTGTGTAAATTATTATGGAAAGTACAATTATTATTTGAAGAATAATTACCACCTGACTTTCTTAACTGTAATTTTGAAAAGCATAGTTTATTTAGAAACAAATTTATAATCTTCGATAAAGTAAGAATGCCATGTTTAGTTATAAATCACAGATTTTATCTGTCCAACTTCACGTAGTTGGGTCAAGTGTGTGCTGGATGGGAACCAGGTAGTGGCGGGGTACGTGAGGGAGCGAAAGGGGGCGCTTGTCTTGGCGGGGCGAAGTGGAGAAGTAGAAGGCAGAGCGGAAGCAAATTCGTGGCGAGAATATAAATAAAATAAATTTAATTTCACACTAGATAAAATTAATTTCCGCTCTTGTCTAATGATT